GGGTAAATTTCTTAAACATACATTAAATTTAAAAAAAAAAAAAAAAAAAAAAAAAAAGATGTGTGCAGGTCATTATACCATTATAAGAACTCTGAAGTTTTAGAAATTAAAGGAAGACTAGAAATTAACTTGTATTTCGGTTACAGAGATGAGCCATCCCACAGATGTTGAACAGGAGGAGTAGTAGTGTTGAATGCAGAGAGAAAAACAGACTGACCCTGATCCCTAAAACTGCTCTGATAGATTTCCCCATAATGAGTTAAAAAGACAGAGATACTTACGAATGGAGACTGTCATACACCGTCTAATGTCATATTCACATGTTTTGATTTTTGAACAACGGAAGGTGTTTATGAGTTCACACTCATAGCATTCCACACTAAAGGTCCCTGAGAGAAGAAAATAGGCACTGGGTTTCTTCTTCAACATACCTTTCACCCATTACCACCCAGTTCCATCCTCCTCAGCTAGCTGCCCCTTCCTTCTGTCCCAGCCACTTCCCCAAGCTTGCTCAGCTCTGCCCTCAGCACATTTCAAGTTGCAACAAGATTAGTTCCTTGGAGCAAAGCGAGATCCCACTAGAAACTCTACTTGCTTTCAAGACTGGCTTGGGGATGCCTGCAAGCAGCCACATATGGGACTGCTGTGCTCTGCACAGGAGATTCACCCCTCCAAGAAAAACTGGCCACTCCTGAGAGTCCAGCACTCTCCTGGATGTCTCAGGACACTGCCACTCTTCTCTGTCCCTGACCAGGAACTGCCACCCCCAGATTCCCTCTCAGGTCTCTTGGTCTGCAGCTCTTTCAGGGAAACCCTTCTCCTTCTGGTCCCTCTCTCTGCTCATGAACACACTCCAAATTGAACTTCAAGCCCCTGATTATAGTGACAATGCACACTCCATCTGGCTCAGATGATCTAATTTCTACCCTTGCAAATAAATGACCCTGATCAACTCCAGGTGAATTCAAATCCTGCCCAAGAGAGTGAACGATTTGGAATGATACTCACATTTCGAAGGAGCCTTGGTGACATTGGTTCCCACCCCTGAAAGCATTATGACAAGGAGTAAGGCAAAGGGAAGCATCATTCCTACAGGAACAGCCTAGAGGTAAAGAGACCCAAAACTAATCAGAGCGGGCATGGCCTCTCTGACTAGCTTCATTCCCCAAGCATCAACCACAGGAAGTCTCCCCAACACTGACCATATCTGGGGCCCTCCTCCACTGAAAAATGGAACCTATCATGGGACTCAACAAATCTTCTACAACAAAGAAACAAAATATATGATAATTTAAAATTCACTTGAATGTATTAACAGACAACTTGACACTGCAAAGGAAAAAATTAGAAAACATGAAGATGCAGAAAGAGAAAAAAAAAAAAGAAAAAGAATGATTAGAACCCAGAAGAGGAGAGGCATGGGTTAGGTAAATACATGGCATACATGGAACTGCAGTTCCACAAGGGGAGAACAGAGAAATTGAGAGAGGGATTATCTGAAAAGTCATCAGTACAGAGACATGTTCCAGTACCAAAGATAAGTATTGCTGTACAAAGAACAAATTCAGCCAGTTCAGAGCAGAACAAGGACAAGGAAAACCAGCCTGAGACATGTCATGGGAAAAACACTAAAAACCACTTACAAAACGTGCAAATCTTGGGGCTGGGGATTTAGCTCAGCGGCAAAGTGCCTGTTTGGCAAGTGCAAGGTCGTGAGTTCGGTTCCCGGTACCGGAGAAAAAAACCAAAAAAAAAAAAAAAGTGCAAATCTTGTCAGGCAAGGTGGCACATATCTATAATGCCAGCACCCTGAGATGCTGAAGCAAGAGGACTGCAAGTCCCTGCCCACTTGGGCAACATACCAACACCTGGTCTCAAAAAGTCAAGAGGGCAGAGGCCCTCAGAAAAAAAAGAAAGGAAAGAAGTGAAAATCTGAGAGGGACAGAAGAAAATAAAAGAGAAATATTTCTATAACAACATCCAAAGTGAAGTCATCATTTCAGGCAAGCAATGAAAAAGAGAAAACCAAAAGAAGATCAATAGCTAAAAAATAGGGAAGAAAGAAGGCATTGGCAAGGAAGCAACCCATTCTCCAGAAGTGAAAATATACTTCAAAAATGAAGGCCAAGTGAAAACAACATCTGACCAAAACTGCTGGCAAATATTGTTCATAGCAGACCTGCTACAAGAACATAGGAATGTTGGAGGGATACATTTACAACATCTCCAGAAAGAAGACCACCTAAGACAAGCACTACCCAAAGCACAGAAAGCTGGAGAATGGAAAGGCAGGAGCTGTGATGTCAGGATCGCTGCTGTAGACATCTAGGCCAATTTTTTTTACACGAAAGTAAGAGGCTGTTGGGTGGGGAGCGCCAGTCTTCCGGCTGGCTAGCTTCCTGCCTGCTGGCTCCCTGAGGGTGGGCCCCTAGCGCACGGGGAGCCTCGGGTGGGGAGCGCCGGTCTTTTGGGGTCTTCGGACCGGCGACTCATTGCTGACCT